CCCTGTTGATTTCAAGCTGTGCACAGCAGTCTTCATAGTATACATTCCTGCTCTTAAAGAAAGAAAAGAAACTCAGCAAGAAAAGTCCATTTTGAATAGATAACAGTATGTCATGCAGTGTCATTAACTACCTAAGCAGGTCTATTTGAGATTACTTTACAACCTGACATGGGTTGATGTAGGCTTGTCATCATTTAGGCATGCTGTAGCTCCATTGCTAATGAACAAAACTAATGAAGCAAACATTGGACACCAAACACGCCTTGGCTGATTAACTATATTTGGAATGAAGGCAGTGTTGTGTACATTTGATTTTCTAAGAACAGCTCTTATAATATTAATCATTCATTGGTTTTGGTGTAACATAGTCATGGATTTTGCAACAATAGTATCATTTTTTGCAGCCATATGCCCCCATTCAGCGCTGTATGTACTGTACACTTTCTTTAATGGGTAGAAGGTGAGAAATGCTTCCACCCACCTCTTCTCTCCACTTCCAGCACACTGCTTGCTCGCTCTTCTCTCTGGGCCTGACTGGCTAATGGATCCAGACAAGGTGCAGGGGAGGTGTCAGAAGGATTTGTCAGTTGCTAACGTTCTTAAGGTCCTCTCAGACAGAGAGCTTTTTCCTTCAGGATGCACCAGCTCAGTTCTGTTTGGCGACCGAGCTGCTGTGGCTAGTTGGGCAGCTGCATTACTGCCTCCACCACTTTGTGTATTGGTCATTAGAAACAAGCTTGTGAAGGCTACTGTTAGTAAGTAATGCTAAATACTATCCTTGATCTTTAGAGTGAGTTCTTGGGTTTCCTTCTGAGCTGCAATCTTTAATATCTATTATGATGCTAAGGTTTCCTAAGGTTTACCTTCTTCATAAAATCCAGTATATACAGCCACATGCAGAAGTTTGGGCTTACTGGTTAGATTACACATTTTGTTGTTATTAAATTCTGGGAACAGATCACACTTCTGTACATTTTAATGCACAATTACTGTTTATTTGCTGAATTTAACATAAATAAAATGTGGTATGTACAAAAGTTGTTTTATAAAATAAATATGCATTTAGTTTTTTTTTATATATTACATATTTTACTTTATTATTAGATAGAGTTATGTGTTATTTTCAGTTAGAAAATCATCAAAACATGTAATTTGACCCGAGGTGTTCAAATATTTAAAAAAAAACTGTCACAATGGATGGGTTTAATTATTCATCATACTCATGTGGGATTCACCATGAGGGGTTTAATCTCAATAGCATGCTAATTAACATGTTACAGTGGAGTTGCGACTGCTGCAGCTTTATTATTATTTTTTTCTATTCTCGTTAATTATTTCACCTTTCAAAAGCATTAGAGTTGCCCTTGCTGTACATGTGTGCCTGCCATTTAGCAGAGGTACGCCGGATACCACTGAGCCATCCTCATGTGGAGAGCCGGGCACGCGAGTCAAGGTCTGTTGAATGGGACTGGCTAACTGGCCAGAAGTGTAGGAGAACATGACTGTGTTCAGAAATGAAGCCAATTAAATTGTACGTTCTGCATGATAGGATGACCCTGTGCAGCCCTCCTACCATGTTTAACTCTTTGTGGCCATTCAAAAGTTTTCTTTTGCTTTTATCAGCTTTTGACTATCTTTTTCTGTTTCTAGTGAACTTTTGAAAACGTCTGATAAATTTTTAGTGTTTTTTTCCTTTGTTTTTCTCTTTGTATGTGGCTGTTACACACTGCGGAGTGCGGAAAGACACGTGTTGGTTAACATGTGGGCGAACGCCCATGCTTGGATGATGAAAGTTTAAGGACAAGTCTGTTCTCAGGCCCCATCATGTTTTCAATCTGGTTTTAAAGCAGGGCAGCTTTGATCCAGTGATGCAACTGTGCTGCAACTGGCGAGGGGCTCCTCACACACACCCAGCCTCTGGCCAGTCTGTGGGGCCACTCTAATCGATCAGCTGCCCTGACCCCCAGCCCTGCCTTCAACACCAGCTCCCTGAGAGACCTTCACACAAAACGGCAGACGGGCGGCTCCTTCCAATCCCGTCCATCTCCGTTGATAAAATCAGATGAACAGTGTTGATAAAATCCAAGGAAAGTTCGCTCATATTTTCTTCATGAGGCTCTAATTGCCAATTAGACCCTGAACCACCTCTTATGGTGTTCTCTGCCTGCTGTGTATAGGCTGTTGAAGGTTTTTAAGCCAGCCTGAGTCGGAAAAACAAGCCTGTGGTGGCTTGCATGCTGTCAAAAATGCTCCTTTTAAATCTCGGCTCAGGCTTGTGAAGTGTTGCTTTTCACCATGAAATGAGCTGGACATTTTGTCCTGCATGTCTTGCAAGCAGGTTTAATGATTTATTAATGAACGTCTGGAGCAGCTGAATGCTAATCACAGTGTTGTTAATTTCTCTGCCAATCTGATTAATCTGAGTGAAAGTTAACGAACTTTTACTGATCAGAGCTGAGCTCCTCTCAGTCCCTTAAGACGAGCGTTATTGAATTACCTTTCGCTGATGCTGGAGATCTTGAGAGTGTGTGTGAGGTGAGTAGCATTTAAGGGAGAAAGGGTATGTGTGGGTGTGTGTGTACACTTGGGTTTGTTTTTGCTCTATTTCTTCTTCATCTTTATCTAGTTTTACACCATCATCATCTTCATGTGTTGTACTTCATTCGTCTTCTTTTTTACACCTTCATCTTCATTTTATTTTATGCATCTTTTTCGTCTACAGCATCTTCATATTTTATACTTTGTCATCTTTGTCTTGTTCATCTTCATATTTTGTACATCTTTATTTTCTTCTTCTTCTTGCAAAATCCATCCATTCTTGAAAGTCTGATGCTCTTAACTGTATGGTTACAAAAGTTAGCTCTCTCTGAGAATCCATCACAACCATCTTGTTTACTTTGCAATTTCAGTCTGAAATGTAGGCAGTAATGGCATGAAGGTCAGCCCCTATATTCCTCATGTCCCCTGTGCCTGGAGCAAGCAGGGGGAAAGATTTGCATGGGTTATTAAAGGAAATAGTCGTAGATTGAAGGCATTGAGATGTGAAATGAAGACTCTGACCTTTCAGCTAGTAAATCAGCCACTTCTGTTTTCACTTTGAGCTTTAGTTTTGTTTTAAACTCAACTGAGACGGGAGTGTCGGGTAAAATCTGTCCGCAAGCACTCTTTAAGAGATGCCATTTAAAGCAGCAGGTATCTTCAACTTTGCGCTTTCAATTTGATACAGCAAAACATTAAACTCTAATTCATTTCCATTAAAGTAAATTTGTCACTCTTGGAGGCACTCTCAAATTGAATGCGAGTTGTATTATCGCTCGGAGGCCAGGGTAAATATATATTTTTTCTTCTGGTAGCAATTACATGCAATTGCACTTAAGCTAGTAAAATTGTAAAATGACACTGATAATGAAAACAAATGCACTCTGATTTATGTGCAGGGGAGCTCAAGGATTTCATTTAAAGAAAGCAGATCCATCATTGTAATTCTAAACCTGTGTATGCATCGTGTTCCGTTTGATAGAGTATTGGATACTTAAGTCCAGTCGTGAAATTTCCCTGCTACTAAATACTTTCAGTGGTATTATAACAAAGTGGAAGCGATTGGGAATGACAGCAATTCAGCCACGAAGTGGTCGGTCACGTAAAATGACAGAGCGGGGTCAGCGGATGCTGAGGCGCATAGTGCGCAGAGGTCGGCGACTTTCTGCAGAGTCAATCGCTACAGACCTCCAAACTTCATGTGGCCTTCAGATTAGCTCTAGAACAGCGTAGAGAGCTTCATGGAATGGGTTTCCATGGCCGAGCAGCTACACCCAAGCCTTACATCACCAAGCGCAATGCAAAGCGTCGAATGCAGTGGTGTAAAGTGCCGCCACTGGACTCTAGAGCAGTGGAGACGTGTTCTCTGGAGTGATGAATCACGCTTCTCCATCTGGCAATCCAATGGACAACTTTGGGTTTGGCGGTTGCCAGGAGAACGGTACTTGTCTGACTGCATTGTGCCAGGTGTAAAGTTTGGTGGAGGGGGGATTATGGTGTGGGGTTGTTTTTCAGAAGTAGGGCTCGGCCCCTTAGTTCCAGTGAAAGGAACTCTTAATTCTTCAGCAGACCAAGAGATTTTGGACAATTTCATGCTCCCAACTTTGTGGGAACAGTTTGGTGATGGCCCCTTCCTGTTCCAACATGACTGCACACCAGTGCACAAAGCAAGGTCCATAAAGACATGGATGAGCGAGTTTGGTGTGGAAGAACGTGACAGTCCTGACCTCAACCCGACAGAACACCTTTGGGATGAATTAGAGCGGAGACTGTGAGCCAGGCCTTCTCGTCCAACATCAGTGTCTGACCTCACAAATGCGCTTCTGGAAGAATGATCAAAAATTCCCATAAACACACTCCTAATCCTTGTGGAAAGCCTTCCCAGAAGAGTTGAAGCTGTTATAGCTGCAAAGGGTGAAATAAAAAAACAATATTGTGTAATCTTGGGATCCTGCAAATTTGTCAATATTGGAAAATCCCATTAATTAGGCTCTGATATTTAGTAGCTTGTTTTGTATTGTAATGAACCACTGACATGATTGAAACATTAATTTTTAAAGATGTATTATTTTTATTACCAGTCATTATAGAGACTGCTAAACTGTCATCATGTGTATATTTCTGTTGCAGCAATGCAGGCTGGAATGCTAGACTTGAAGTGTAAGAAGTACAGCAATTGAGAGCTGTCATTCATATCAGTTCATATGTCTCTCTTTTTTGGCTGTGTTAAATTATATTAAACAATATTATCGATTAGTGAAACTCTTTAATTCCTTTAACGCAGTGTTGATAACAGTCACAAAAAGTTTCGTATCACTCTTTCCTTACTTTTTATGCCTGAGCTTCCTCATCAGTGGAAAAGGAGCCCTCTCTTTGGAGCTATTTCACAGCTCAGCCTGCCAAACATGTGCTTTTGCTGTTCCACTGTGTTACACTGACACTTTCACTGTAATCTCTCTCAGGTAACTACCAGCTGTCCCCCACTGTGAACATGCCTCAGGATGACACTGTCATTATCGAAGATGATAGGCCACCCGTGCTTCCTTCCCGCCTGTCTGACCAATCATCTTCCAGCTCCCACGATGACATGGGCTTTGTGACAGATGTGCCCGCCTCCTGGGCCAAAGATATTCAGAATCAAGATGAGTGGTAAGTTGATGTTCTCAGTTGTTCTACTGTTGTGAAAAGTTATTGAGAAGTGGATACATATGGCTGCAATAATATACCAAAAGAAATTTATTACATCAATATGAAGAAATGGATTTTATTGTTGACGCGTCATTTATTTTAACATAAAAGCACTCTTCAGTGTTTCTGCTAGGTTATTCAGCAGCGGTGTCAGGCCAGAATGTGCCCCCCCTACCGATCCCTACCCATCCCTACACCCCAAAACCAGGTCAAGACTTACCTTTACTGTTCAGTTGCTAAAGATCAGGCTCAGGCCATCAGTCTTACCTGTTTTATTCAGTACATTTTCTCATAGTAAAGTTGTAAACAAACAAGATATCACATCCTTAACAGAACTTCACCCTCATGGGCTAGCATTAACACATAACAAAAAGCAAGTAGCCAGATTTTCCCAGACTTTTGACCCACTTTATTCATAGTTCAGACCACCACTGTCCACAAACGTCCAAAAAATGTAAAACTGAACTTAATAACATTGCAAAATAAGGTTAACCCTACCTCCTCACAGTGTGCTAACAGCTCATTAAGCACAGCTTGCTAAAACCATCTGAATAGTCCACTCCACTGATAATCGTTTCATTCGGCACTTCAACTCAACTCTGCTCTGACTGTCTGCACAATGTTTGTCCACTTCCTGTAACTGTCATTTCAGTTTTGTCATTGCAACTTCATGACATTTTATAAAATTCTGAAGCAGTGGTGGCAGTAATTTTGCAGTGGCAGGTATCTTTGAATGGTGACAGTAGCAAAGAAGAAGGAGCCAAAGAGTGCAAAATTAGTAATGTAATTGAACATTAATAAGTTAATCCATGATAAAGGTAATTATTAATTGCAGTCTTACAGATGCACTTATTTAGTTATTTCGTGTGATTATGTTTGTAATAAAACTATATTTGTGGTAGTGTGGTTTACTTAAGTGCATTACAGGCACATAAGTCAAACCTGACCCTGAAGAAATTCTTCCTCTGAGTGAATAGAAGTGGTTGGCGTTTGTCTTCCAACTCTGACTGAATTGTGTGTACTCTGTAACTGAAAGGTCAAAGCAGTTATTCAGTTGAAACAAATGAATGTAGAGTATTAAATGTAGTTAATCAAATTGATAAGCCTCCCTTCCCCTGAGAAAACATGGATGACTTTCAGTTGACATCATACACTCCCACTCTCTCTTGTTTCCAAATAAGGTTCTCTTAACACCTCTGATACCTGAGCCCTCTGTTTGTGTGTGTCTGTGTGAGTGAGCTGCATGAACTCAGTATGAACTCCTTACGTTAAGCTCAGCAATGATCACTGGAGTGTGCACGTTTGTTTTTGTATGTTTTCTCAACTGAAATTTTTTTTTGGAATAAAATTGTTGCCTTAGTTTACATTAAGATGTTTAAGATTAAAGCATGATATTGTAGAGATGAGGGTGAAGAATGAAACAGAATATGCTGCAGTTAACCCAACAAAACTCTTTTTGAAATATACACCACATGCGAGTTATACTGAACAGCTGGGAGCTGTGGTTCCCCAACAGCTGAACAGCATTCTATCCTCATCCACAGAGCAGTAAAGGTACCTCAACAGCGTCATCACTGTGAGAGACTGGAAAGGCTTAATGACAAAATCATTCTCAAAAATATGTTTTCCAAAATACAGGCCTTTTTTCTCAAATATCACCCTGGGATCCATATATAATACATATGAGACATATATGCGGGTATGTATGGGCCTGACTTCATTGAAATTGGCTGAGGGGAAGTGAAAAAGTGTCCTGTGTTCCAGCAAATCAACATTTGAAATTCTTTTTGGAAATCATGGACACTCTATTCTCCAAGCTAAAGACCACTCAGCTTGTTATCAGTGCACAGTTCAAAAGCCAGTGTTCATGATGGTATAGGGGTCCATTAGTGCACATGGCATGGGCGACCTGCACATCTGTGAAGGCACCATTAATGCTGAACAGTATACAGGTTTTGGCAACATATGCTGCCATCCAAATGGCATCTTTTTCAGTGAAAGCCTTACTTATTTCAGCAAGACAATGCCAAACCACATTCTGCATGTATTACAACAGCATTGCTACATATTAAGAGTCCCGGTGCTAAACTGGCCTGTCTGCAGTCCAGTCCTGGCACCACCAAAAACATTTGGCACATTATGAAATAAAAAATACGACAAATGAGCCCCTGAACTGTTGACCAGCTGAAATCCTATATGAAACAAGAATGGGAAAACATTTCACTTTCAAAACTATAGCAAATGGCAACCTCAGTTCCCAAATGTTTACAGAGTGTTGTTAAAAGAAGAGGTGATGAAAAACAGTAGTAAACATGCCCCCTGTCCCAACTTTTTTGGAACATGTTGTTGGCATCAAATTCAAAATGAGCATATATTTTTCAAAAAACAATAAACTTTCTCAGTTTCAACATTTGATATGTTGTCTTTGTAGTATTTTCCTTTAAGAATATGGTTTACATGATTTGCATATCATTGCATTCTATTTTTATTTACTTTCTGCACAGCGTTCTGTGAGTGAAGGTCATGTACAACTGTGGTTTAAAAGCTGTATTGGTTAGTATGTGTGCTGTATAACTGCTCCCAAATGTATGAACCTCTACTTGAAAGTACACAAGGATATTAACTCGAGAAGCTTCATGCGCTCTGTCGTTCCACAGCCTGTTGTTTTATGGCTTGTGGCATGACAACTTGTCACAACGGGTATGAGTTTAATTAGAGGCTGTTTTAAATCACAACAGCCCTGGGCTCAGAGCTCCACCACAGAAACTCCTAATACATTAAAACCCTTCTGAGAAACTGCTGTTGCACCAGCAGAGATCTACAGCACGATACAAATCCCTTTTGGTCAGCCTGTGCTGAAGGAGGGATGAATTGAAATACACTGGAGCAGTGATGTATTTATTGTACATTGTGTAGTGTGCCACTGTAGGACATGTAGGCAGCTGTTGTGGGGGTTAAAGCAGGTCCAGCACGTCCAGCCTATGCTGCGGTGGCCTTGGACTAGCGCCAGGGTTCTGTTGCTTGGTCAAGGGCTCATTACTGTGACATTGGCAGGGACAAGATTCAAGTCAAAAAAGAGGTGTCATATATAACAGTGCTTTAGTTTATGTCCTCAAAAATCAGAACCTGGTATATGTACACAGGTCTCTGACCTGATGAATGTGTTTTCTGTAACACTGCTGCTCTGTGTGAGTGTAAAGATCATGTTTTGTTGCTGTTCTCCCTCTTTGAATGTTAAATAATAGATGTAGCTTGGGGTTGGGTTCAAGTGTGCGTGTATGTGTGTTTGGGGGAGCTTAGTGTAAGTATGTGAGATTTGAGGGGGTGTAAATCAGAGGCATGGACTCAAGTCACATGACTGAGTCACACATTTCATGACTTGAAACTTGACTGGATAAAAAAGAGAAAAAAAAGACTCGACTTTGGCTTAAACACCAGTGACTAAGATTTTGAGTGGACTTATGACTCGAAAAGATTCACGGAAACAGGAAGAGGAGCCTGGCTGTACTCTCTTCAGTCGGTTACTTTATTTACTTCATGTGATTGGATTCATTTCCAGGCGTAGACGTTCGAGAACTGCGTGAGACAAGCATGAGAATTCAAGTTTGCCTCCATAAACTAGAAACATGGGAAGCATCAACAGTATCAATAAACCCTCACCCCAGTCTTCTTCTCTACTGGAGAAACCTAAATTAAACTTAAGCAGTTAAAATAAGCACAACATTCACTAGAGGCTGAAGTTGGCTTTTAATTTGCCAGCTTCATATTTGAATTTGCTAAGGTCACTATGTGAAAGTGAAAGAGAACCACCCTTAGCTTGACTTTGAGAGGGTAGAAAGTCTACTTTGTGCCCTCTTGATAGTGCCGCTTTCTTACTCTTATTTGTTTCTCTGTTTGTGGTGATTGCTGACCCCAAACTCCAATTCTACATGCCCATCAGCCAAAACAGTGCTGACAAGCAGTCAACTAGGACCAACAAACTGCAGATGACAGTCAACCATCGACGTTTACAATTGAATGGCGTTCACCGGCCAACAGTTGGTTTTTGGTGTTTTAGAGCCCTAAGTGTGTGAGAGTAAGAGGACAGGTGAAGTCTAAGTGTGTATTTGTGTTTGAAAATGTAAAACAGCAGGGCACTCAGTCCTATGATGCTCTAGAGGTGCTACAACATTGGAACCTGTCCCACCGTACAGAGCACAGACAGTTCTGTGGGACTACTCAGCATAAATATCAAGCTTCAGTTTTAAATACAGCGCATCTCTCTATCTATCTATCTATCTATCTATCTATCTATATGTTTTAGTGTTAACTCACTCCCCTCAATAGAAGTGTCATGCTCTCTTACAGGGCAAGTGTACATTGTGACAGGTAGCTCTGCTGATCACAGTCATAACACTCAACAAACTTGTATGGAAGTTCTCTGAATCTCGCACTAATAATGCAACAGTTGACTCATTCATTAGTGAGAAAACACTTCTGTGTGATATTTAAAACACTGTGAAGTCTATTTATTTAACTGGGGGTTATTATTGGTCTTCTTGTTTGTTTGTTTGTTTACCTTCCTTATTATATCTTTCTTATATTCTTATTTATCTATCTATTTATTTATTTATTTATTAGTTTTGCAGCCCTTGCTGTGTGTGTCTGTGTGTCTGTGTGTCTGTGTGTGTGTGTGTGTCTGTGTGTGTGTGTCTGTGTGTGTGTGTGTCTATATAGCTAAAGGCAGCTGAATGATTGGCTCTTCCTGTAGCTGTGTTTAGCCCAAGATACAGAACACATTCTGCTTTTGGATTGGTCCCACAAGTTCGCACATAAGTTGGTCCATGGTTGGCCAGTTTGCATGTGTGTGTGGGTGTATGTGAGAGCGTGAGTTTAATTTTGTAAGGCAGATTAAAGCACAGACTCTTAAAATAAGTGACTGAGGTAATTTGTTTCTCTTCAATTTCAATCGTTTCATCTTT